GTTTTGACCTAAGAATGGGTCGGGGGCACTTTTCCCAAGGAGTGTGCGTGCAACCTTAAGTAGGATGGCTCGAGCAGAATTCTAAGGGCGGCTTGCTCTACCGGCAAAAAAAACAAATGAAGGGCAAATGGTGTTTCAATGCATTTGAAAGGGCTTGTCCATGCTCTCCATTCCAGCCAAACATGCCTAGAGTCCAAACGCACTTCAGGGAATATGTCGTGCGCTATGTGCATTGTGACCGAGTGTCTACACATTCACACGCATCTCGTTTGGCAGCCGTACTTCTTATGAATACACGCACACGTACTACTTATGAATACACGTGCACACACAAGCAAACAACACACGTGACACACACACACTGACACACACACACACTCTCTGTCTCTCTGTCTCTCACGCAGGCACGCACGCGCGCACGCGGGCACGCACGCACGCACACACGCGCACAAAAAGCGCACGCGCGCACCAACACACAAACACCGACAAACATAGACGCAGGCAAACTCGCAAATGGACATAGACGTACAAACGCAACACACAAGCGCACACACACATATGTGCCACACACACACATGCGTGACACACGCACACACGCACGTGACACACACACACACAACGACACAAACACACAAACAAACAATCACAGAAGCGCAGAAACGCACAAGCGCAGTTTACGCAAACGCACAAACACGCAAACACACAAACACACAAACACATAAAACCGCACAAACACAAACACAAACGCGCAACACAAAGACACACGCGCACAAACATAAACACGCACACAAACACACACACAGAAGGACGCACACGCACAAACACAAGCACAAACAAACACACACAATCACACAAACACAACAGCACGCAAACACACAAACCACAACTACAGCCACACATGCGCATGACACGCGCAACCACAAACACACGCACACCCACACAAACACGTGGTATACACACACACGTGACACACACGCACACAGGTGACACACCTACACACGTGACACACACGCACACACGTAACACAGTCACACACGGTACACACACCCACACACACGACACGTGACACGTGACACGTGACACGTGACACGTGACACGTGACACGTGACACGTGACACGTGACACGCACACAGACACACACACACAGAGACACACACACACACAGAGACACACACACAGAGACACACACACACAGAGACACACACACACAGAGACACACACACACACGTCACACACACACACGTCACACACACACAGAGACACACACACAGAGACACACACACACGTCACACACACACACGTCACACACACACACACGTCACACACACACACACGTCACACACACACGTCACACACACACACACACGTCACACACACACACACGTCACACACACACACACGTGACACACACACACGTGACACACACACGTGACACACACACACACGTGACACACACACACACGTGACACACACACACACACACGTGACACACACACACACACGTGACACACACACACACACACGTGACACACACACACGTGACACACACACACACACACGTGACACACACACACACACACGTGACACACACACACGTGACACACACACACGTGACACACACACACACACGTGACACACACACACACGTGACACACACACACACGTGACACACACACACACACGTGACACACACACACGTGACACACACACACACACGTGACACACACACGTGGGGAAAAAAAAAGACACGTGACACGCACACACACACACACGTGACACACACACACACACGTGACACACACACACACACGTGACACACACACGTGACACACACACACACGTGACACACACACGTGACACACACACACACGTGACACACACACACACACACACACACACACACACACGTGACACACACACACACACACGTGACACACACACACACGTGACACACACACACACGTGACACACACACACACACGTGACACACACACACACGTCACACACACACACACGTGACACACACACACACACGTGACACACACACACACACACGTGACACACACACACACGTGACACACACACACACACACGTGACACACACACACACACGTGACACACACACGTGACACACACACACACACACGTGACACACACACGTGACACACACACACGCGTGACACACACACACACAACACATGTGACACGTTGCGCGTGACACACCACACACACAGACACAGACACACGCACACGCACGCGCGCACACACACACAAACACATGATGCACACACACACACGCACAAACACATGATGCACACACACACACACGACACGCACACACACACACACACCCCACACACACAACACGCAAAGATACACAGACACACGCCGGCACGAACACACGCCCAAGCACAAGCAGAAACACAAAGGAAACACAAGCGCCAAAAATAGGAGCTAGAAGAAGCACAAGCAGAGGGGCAGGCACAAGCAGAAGAACAAGCACAAACCCAACCGCAAACGCAGCCGAAAACACAAACACAACAACCAACGCAAACGCAACCACGCGAACACAAAAACAAAAACACAAGCGCAAACACAAATAAAGCGCGCACACACACAAGTACAGACACAAACACAAACACACACACACAAATACAAATCACAAACACGCGCAGCCACAGACACAGACACAGACACAGAGACAGACACATACACGCAACACGACACACACACACACATGTGACACAGACACAGACACAGACACAGACACAGCTCCGGACGTGGACACAGACACAGACATACACAAACAACATAAGCACACAGAGACACATGACATACGCACACACACACACACTCTGACATTCAGACACACACACACACACTCGTGACACACGTATAAATATAAATGCACAATATGTGTACATGTACAAATGGCTGGTTCTTGGACAGGCACGCGGCTTGAACATCACTTTCTAGCTTGTAACTGTTCGATCAGGAAAGCTTTGAGACTGGGTATGAGACTAAGTCTTGTACAATCTCAGCCTCCATGTCCATTTCTATATCATTTTTGCATGTACCGAGCTTCAGAGATTCCATGACGCAGTTTTGACAGTTGAGAGAGCAGAAATTGGACCAAAGTTGCAGGAAACCTTGTTTGTCGTGCCTGCTGTGGCATGTCCTTTGCAACAGCCGGACAACAGGTCGTCTCACCAACTATTTCCCGAAGCCATGAGGAGGCCTAGGGCATGCTCGATGCGTCGAGATTTCGTAGGACGCGATCACATGAGCTCTTTGCCCCCGGCCATTTCGCCGAGAGAAGCGTTGCACCTCAAGGGGTGAAAGTGTTTGGTGCTCAAACTGCCGGCGCTTTAGCGAGCCCAACAGTGCGTTTGCAACATGCACGAGTGGGGCCTGAACCAACCGCTTGGTAATATTCAGAGCAAACCTTCTCAGGCATTAGGATTGGAGCTGACACAGGTCTATCGAGATCTCATTTGCACGTTTGGTGGATGCCCTGGGCTTAGGACTCTGATTATCACAGGTCAGAACAGCTTGCACATGTTTGTTTCTTGCTTTTCCGGAAAGATTTGTTAGCTTGACTCTGACTAGGCAAGTACAGTCTAGGGATTGGAAGCTTGTCAGGCTTGGGTACCTTTGAAGAATTTGTTTTGTAATCCCAAGTTGACATGCGCCAATCCAGATCTCTCATGTGTCATCTTGATTCTGGCCTGCCCTGCTCACGTGCATGGTGCTACACAGCATTCAGCCTGCAAGGCGTCCATAGAGTTCTTCCCGGGCGATCGGTCAAGTGCTTGGTCCCAAAAAACACCCTTGCAACAACAATATTGTGTGTTTGGTGTGTGTGTAAATGTGTGCATGTGTGTGTATTTGTGCGTGTATGCGTGTCCGATGCATGTGACGAAATGCAATGCACTGAAATGCAATGAAATGCAATGCAATATAATGCACTTCAATGTAATGTAATGTAATTTAACGTAATGGTATGTAACGTATGTAAAATGTATGGATGTAATGTATGTAATGCATGTAACATGTATGAATGTATGCATGTAAATGTCATGCAATGTACGTAATGTATGTATGTAATGTAATGTAATGTAATGTAATGTGATGTGATGTGATGTGATGTGATGTAATGTAATGTAATGTAATGCAATGCAATGCAATGTAATGTAATGTATGTATGTATGTATGTGTGTGTATGTGATGTATGCAATGTATGTAATGTATGTAATGTATGTATGTAATGTAATGTAATGTAATGTAATGTAATGTAATGTAATGTAATGTAATGTAATGTAATGTAATGCAATGTATGTATGTATGTAATGTATGTATGTATGTAATGTATGTATGTATGTATGTATGTATGTATGTATGTATGTATGTATGTATGTATGTATGTATGTATGTATGTATGTATGTATGTATGTAATGTATGTATGAATGTAATGTATGTATGTATGTATGTATGTATGTATGTATGTATGTATGTATGTATGTATGTATGTATGTATGTATGTATGTATGTATGTATGTATGTATGGTTGTATGTATGTATGTATGTATGTATGTATGTATGTATGTATGTATGTATGTATGTATGTATGTATGTATGTATGTATGTATGTATGTATGTAATGTATGTATGTAATTAATGTAATGTATGTATGTATGTATGTATGTATGTATGTATGTATGTATGTATGTAATGAAATGTAATGTAATGTAATGTAATGTAATGTAATGTAATGTAATGTAATGTAATGTAATGTAATGTATGTATATATGTATGTATGTATGTATGTAATGTAATGTAATGTAATGTAATGTAATGTAATGTAATGTAATGTAATGTAATGTATGTATGTATGTATGTATGTATGTAATGTATGTATGTATGTATGCATGTATGTATGTATGTAATGTATGGTAATGTATTGTAATGTATGTATGTATGTATGTATGTATGTATGTAT